GTATAAAATTATATACAAAGGGCAAACATACATATGTCTGTTATAGCAATGCATGTTTCTGAGCATAATTTTCATTGAATGCTCTGCTCTGTTTACGCGTCACTGTTAAAGTTTCTCCTTCTTAGCTAGCTGTGGTGAAACGCACTCATGGCATTTTGTTAGCTTTTGACAGTTTACACGCCTGTCCGTTGTTGGACCTTCTCTATAAATATACGTTCTCCGCCCGATGGCATTTCGCAAAACATAAAATAAAATTTTCAGAGCTCAAAGCATGCGCTACATCAGCTCGAACCTACCTTTGCGCAAATGATTATATTATGATAGCAAATGCCCACATTCAGATTTCGCAATGGCAATACGTTTGGCAGTTAGTATTCTATAAATTCTATTCTGTCGAGATGCCCGGTACTCGGTTGGAACTAAAAAGATTACAGGAAACATTATTGTAGCTACCATTTTGATTCGAAAATATAATGGAGAAATAATCCTCTTGCCACCTTAGAATATATCACGCAAATAGAGCTCCACTAGTAAAATTTCGAAATGTTGTCTATCAAAAACTTAAATATCTTTGTTAAAAATCGTTCATTTCAAATTTGAAAGTATTGTTCAAATTTTAACCCCGTGTATTCTTACACCGCAAATCACGATTTCGTTTTTATTCGTTAATATAATTTTACTGTATTGAATAGTATTATGCTATATAGGACAAAATATTTTGTGAAAAACGTCAAATAAAGGATCAAAATTCATTGTATTACGAATGTTTGATTTGTATCATCAAACATTGACCTCAAAAAAGAATCTGTCACACCTTCCCACTGGTGGGGGGAAATGAAATGTCTTATATCGAGGGAGAATTTATTCATTCTTATGTTCATTTGGAATTTTCGTTGCTTATATAAAAATTTTAAAACTATCTTAAATAACTAAATATTTATAATAACTAAATATATGTGTATGTATTGCAGCATATTGTTTATCGCTTCTTGACAAGGGGTTAGTTTTCAAGTGCACAATTTAATAAAGGTGGGTGCGTGTTTATCTCATCAGTACATTTATGGCTTGTGTCCCCATTCATTTTTATTATTATATGTATGTATGTATATTAATATTATATATTATATAAATAGATATGTATATTTAGTAGAATTTGGGCTTTGCTGATAAGTAAGCACGTTCAATGACATTTGAACATATTGCCGAGGGAAAGAAATAATTATTTAAAATTAGTGGACTGTATATGGATATGTATGTATATGATATTTCTAATTTAATATAACGACATGTTCAATTTTGAACATTCTGCGGGTGCCAAATGTGACTGCTAGAAAGGTGACAACAGTTTGCGATCCTGTCATGGTCGTAAACTAAGTGACGTTCACGATGACTATGCGCCTTCCTGTCTTGTATCAGTGATAGCTTGCTCGTAACTATTTGTTGATATTCGAGTCCTGTCCGCTTTTCTTCTTTTACATCGGACGGCAGTATACCTTTGATTTTACGCTTCTTTTTGTGTATCCTTGTACACTCTTCTGCACTGATTCCGTCCTTCGGTGACTATTGTACTTGTTTTATCGGTGGACATCCTTTCATTCTTTTGAAAAACTTGAAGTTACTCTTCCTTCTCAAACTCTTCAGCATCATCTTTCAAAATGTGGTCTATTTCTTTAGCTAAGATGAGGACGAAATCTTTCTTTTTATCCTGGACTGCACTTTAACACATTTATTCAAAATGTGAGCCTGCCGGAAGAGATAAGTGCCGAGGTGTCAATTCAGTTGGTTTTTTCTAAGTTATTGAAGGTTCATGTTATTGTTCAAAGAATTCTTCTTCAATTTCATTTGCCTTTTAATCTTCTTCTATTATTTCTGTTGTTTTGTCCTCAACAGAAGATAGAGGGAGTAATCGAACTGTTATTAGTTTTTCGTCTTCAATCTTTTGCTCTGCATTAGTTAGTTTCGTCACAGTTGTAGATAATTTGGGTATGATGAACAGAATTCGCTGATTGTTATACTTTTTCTTAAGTAGATTCCATGCAGCGTCATATTTTTTTGTTGAAATATGTAGATGCTGTATTACTCGTGCAGCTTCGCCTTTTAAGCATTGAAGGCGCAGCATTTTTTCTGTGTTCGGCATCTACTCGTTGTCATGTACTATAACTTGGAACACGTTGTAAAATTTACCCCTTTCCTTAATATCGCCATAAAATGTTGAAATTTTTATTATTTTTCTTAATTCAAAGCTAGGGCGATAAGAAATTTTAGGCTCTTCTTTTTTAACCTTTTTTTTTTTATTTTAAGCTCTTCGTAGTATTCGTCATTAATTTCTTCGAATAAGATTTCAATTTCTTCATTGAAATCTAATTTGCCTTTTAGTTTTTGAATATCTACGAATAAAAAGTTTAAACACTTTAAATAATCGTTGTTGATCATTAATTCCCTACTTAGATCTTCCATTTTTCTTCTGAAGTTTTCAATTTTCCTCATGAATATGGAAGTTTTTCGATCTAAATATTGGTGTTTAGCTTCAACTTCTTCAATATTCAAAGCCATCAATGTTGGTAAAGTGTTGGACATGTACAACACCTTTTCAGAAAAACCCGCTTGGGCTTCAGGAATTTTCTTTTTGTTTATTCCCATTTTGAGAGTTTTTCCGCAACACTTTTCATATTTTATAATTAACTGCTTCTTGTTCTCCAAAGAAATCGTTAGAGGTATATTGATTTGGTCGCCTAGTTGACCTTGCTGTAGCTCGAGTCACAGTCGCTGAATACCTTAGATAGCAGTTAGATCACTGCGTTTAGTCTCTGCTAAACCGGCTTCTGTGATCAGTTTAATATGCGGGAATGTACACCCGTTTTAATTTGCCTGGATTTTGGATATTGCCTGTTTTGTAAATACAGGACTTTTTAATTTTGGCCGAGCACTATATCCGGCTCGAAGAACCAAATACTTAAACTCAACAAAGATTTTGTCATTCCTTACCACTGGTCATTGTTTCAGTGAGAAATCTTTCATTCTGATTTTTATTTGGTATTTTCCTTGCTTATATACAAATTTTAAAACTATCTTAAATAACTAAATATATGTGTATGTTTGTATGTATTGCAGCATATTGTTTATTGCTGCTTGACATGGGGTTCTTTTCAAGTGCACAATTTGATACTTGTGTGCATGTGTTTAATGTTATCTCATCTGTAAATTTATGACTTGTGCCCCCATGCATTTTTATTATTTTTAGATGTGCACTGCATGTAAATGCATTATTATGTATATATGTATGTATGTATATTAATATTATACATTATATAAATAGATATTTATATTTAGTAGAATTTCGGCTTTGCTGATAAGTAAGCATGTTCAATGATATTTGAACAACGAATATGAGGTTTAGACAAAACCTATTGAATATACATATATATTGTGCACCAACCCATTTAAATAATATAACTTTTAAGAAAACGTGTCCAATTAATTTCATTAAGGCACCACACATTTTCATCAACCTAAATGTTTTAAAGTCAGATTCATAGTCCGAAATCATTATATAAAGAATATTACCGAAAGAATAGGTCTGAACTGATTGCATTAATTTTTGATATTATTCAGGTATTCGAGAACTTATTTTCACAATTTTATCCATTTTAGGCACTATATACTGTTATTGCTCTACTAATTTCTTTAAAGTAGCTCCAACGCTGACCGATATACAATTAAATTGACTTTTAGGGGGCTCTAACTTTCAAAAGGCAAATAGGGGTGTGAATGGAATAATTTACCTTGACTATCTTGAAAGGGAAGGACCATTAACAGGACTATACAGGACATAGTATAATTGGACTGTTTCAGTACGAAAGCGCCGCAAAGCGGAAGAAGTAAAAGAAATGCACCGTATCACAAGTCAGTGAAAACGTATACAAAAATCTACAAATAGATTCAGCATCCACGGTATTCTGCAGAGCTGGCTCCCAGTGACTAATTCCTCATAAGAATATTCACTTCGAAGAAATTTTCATCGAACCAAGAGGTGATAGCCGAAACTCAAACCAACCGTACTACCTCGCCGGTGTGAGTTACGACTTTATTGCACTGGGCACTCTTGTAGAGTGAACAATTCTGAGAAATATGCGTCTAAAGTCAATGGCATAAAATACGTCTGATCTGTAGGAATTTAAAGATAAAAACTGACGATTGTAGTGTATTTTCTATGGAAAATTTTTACAGGCCTTGGTCCAGTTCCTAATGTTAATATTAAGAGCTAAAATTTTCAAGAAAAATTCGTTAGGGGACTGAAAAAAATTAATAGTTCAATAAAAAAACACCCTACTGATCATGTATAAATAAATTAATATTTTATTATTTTCCAGCTTATAAATACGCTGCAGCTTTCAATATTTTCGATTTAATTGACATTAAAGTAAAAACAAACCAACAACAACAAACATTATGCGCATAAGCGAGTTAATTGTAGAAGAAAAGGCAACTCCACTTCAACACTTCTACGAGGGTGCCAATATACTAATAACTGGAGGAACAGGCTTTCTTGGAAAAAGTGAGAAGTGTTTTGTAATTATAAAACAAATATGAAATATTTTGATATATATTATTTACTGACTTTTATATTCCGTTTATTATAGTATTACTAAATAAATTATTTACGTCATGCCCTGGCATAGAAAATATTTATATTCTAATTCGTAAGAAAAACAACAAGGATGTGCATACACGTGCGGAGGAGATATTTGATGATCCGGTAATCTACTTTACATATTCAACTTAGAATTTACGTACACCTTTTTCAAAAAAAGTTTCTTATAACTTTCTTAACTTACCAGATTTTTAATGTTATGAAAAAGGTGGCACCTAAGTTTCGCCATCAGTTTCAAGGCATTGCAGGGGATTGCTTGTTGCCCAACTTGGGTCTTAGTCGAGAAGATCGAAAGCTGCTTATTCAACGGGTGAATATAGTATTTCACATGGCAGCCACCGTGCGATTTGATGAAAAATTGAAAATTGCTATGCAAATAAATGTGAAGGCAGTGAGCGATATTATGTTGCTTTGTAGTGAAATGAAGCATCTAAAAAGTGTCTTGCACGTCTCCACAGCATATACCCATTGTCCCCTCCGTCAAATCGATGAGAAATTTTATTCACCACCTAGTGATTCGAAAAACTTAATACTTTTGACAGAATGCATGCCGGACAAGCTACTGGAATCAATGACACCTGTGTAAGTTTGTCCAAATCCTGTTCGAATTCAACATACCTCTCATCTATAAATGAATCTAGACTCTTGGGTAAATGGCCGAACACTTATACTTTCACAAAAGCTGTTGCTGAGGATATAATAAAGATGTACGGAAATAAATTGCCAGTAGGGATGTTTCGGCCTGGCATAGGTAAATCTTGTATGTTATTATATTTTTTGTCTTCAACAGGAAACATTTGCAACATGTTGCACGGGGTATAAAATTTTTGTTCACCAACAGTTGTTCGTAACACCTAAAACTATTAAAAATAGGTATGTAGGTATATATGTTTTTAAGTGAAGTAAAAACGCAATGTACATACTTCTACTATATATTTTTAGGTTCAAAATGCAAAAATAAAACTGAATATTACTATTTTCATTTTTGTGATAACGAGATTTTAGTGTAGCACCAGGTAAATACAAGCACCATAAATTCTGGCCCAACTTTATTACATTAATAATTATTTTGTTGTGTAGCTCCGTTGTTTTAAAATCTCACTCAATCGACCTTACCAACTTATCTGTTTCTCCAATAGTAACAGTAATCCGGGGTCATTCCGAGGGCATAACACTTCAAATCATCTTTATGTGTTGTTTCTGGCGAATTTTTTTTTTTAACAGATACCAAAAATATCAGGTTATTGGAGGGCAAATTCAATAGTAGCATTATACTTCTTCAGCTGAACGGCAGTTAAATTGTAACCTCTGGATATGGCGAACTAGATTCCCCAATCGATTGCGATGTAATAGATGTGCTGTCGCCCGACTATGATGAGGTTTGAATAGCAATGACCCGCTTGAAGAATAACAAGGCGGCAGGAACCTATGGATTACTGGCCGAGCTATTCAAATACGGCAGCGAATAACTGACAAGGTGAAAAAGCTGATGCTTCGCAAGTTATGGTCGGATTAACGCCCGCCGATTAGAACCTAAGTGTGCTCTGCACAATCCACAACAGTGGGGACTCCAAACTCTGCGCCAATTACTGTGTCTAAAAGACTGAAATCCACCGTCAAGAAATTGATTGGACTGTGTGGCTTTAGACCTTGAAAATCTACTATCGACCAGATTTGTCACCATGCGCTAAATCTTTTAAAACACCCGTGAAAGGAAGATAGACACACACCACTTCTTCGGCCTGTCTCCTGTCATCGCATTCGCATGGCTCCGGCGTCCGTGTTGACAGTTATAACTTTGAAGTCGTATATAACTTCGTCTACCTTGGAAACAGTCTCAACACACACAACTTTATCAGCCTTGAACTCCAACGCAGAATCACTTTTGCCAACAGGTGGTACTTTGTACTGAAGAGACAATTGAAAAGTAGAGCCCTCTCTCGAATAACAAGGGCGACGGCGAATAGCGCAGCCGATGGATCGCAGATCTGTACGAGATACACAGCGACATAGATATAGTTCAGCGAATCAACCAGATGTGAAGGTTTTCGATTCAGTAACCGCCGGAAGCAATGGAAGAAGATGACTACGTTAGAAGGATCAGGTAGAGATGAACCTACCTACACTTGGTATTTCGAATTATCCTTCGTCATCTTTCCACAATCTAGTTATATTAAAACACAATAGAATTTACAGAAAAAGATACAAATTCATGAAAAGTAACGGCATTTTCAATTCGAGCAAACTGAACGCAGACTTTGGGGTGAATATATTTACTTTTTCTTACAATAAAATCTCGTTGCCACAAAAATGAAAATAGGAATACACATTTTTGTTTTTGCATTTTGAACTTAAAAATTTAAGGAGGAAATACTCCGAAAAGTTTGTATTATCTATTTATATCAAATATCTATATTTTCACTTCACTTAAAAAAGTCAGGTAAATTCAGACTTTGTTGGCTATGTCTATGTATATAAATGATTTGAGATCTTGATGTCTGTAAATTCGCTCGTCTGCGTATGGACCCATGAAATAACAGGTATTTTGATGAAATATGTATGATGATGTAGGTACACGCATTATATATATGGCTCTTTGACGAAATTGATATTGCAGATGGGCGGAATTGGACGATTGCTATGCCTCCAAAATTCCGTTAAGCGTAAAATTATAAAGTGTTATAACAAAGTCACAAATTGATCTAATTAATGTGCAAAATGTCACAGTGAGACCCTCATAATTTCATCATACAAGGTGAAAATGGGTAATTTTGAATAGTAAACAACATGGATTCGTATTAAAACTTCGAATTTAGTTTAATCTACAATTCTAAAACTTTGCCAAATTCTATACTGATTATAGCCTGTCGGCTTCTACAATAGTGCTAGTATAGAAACACAATAGGAAAGATAATCTGTTGTATAGCATTCTGTAGATTGATTGCGAAAATTTATCCGCTGTATACTATACACAATTAATATTTTAGTTTAGTGCCATAAATAAATGCAAGCGGCTCAGACTTTACCTAAATATTTTAACTCCTAAAGTATTGGTATTATAGTGATGAAATTAATCTAATCCTCATATGCCTAATATAATGATACACATATCCAATATATTAACACACTCTACATATCTAGAATAGCGCGAGTACAGATGCCGTTCGAAACTGAATGCGTATGTCGTCTACTTTCTGCAGACAATTAAGTTCTCTTTTAATTTATAATATCATCCTTCATAAGATATCAAAATAGGGGAACTTATCAAGAACGTTTTTAACATAATAATTCACCAAAATCTATCTTCAAAACAATTTTTTGAAGTAATATTTTCGTTTATACTTTTTTGTTATACTCTTGCTATAGAATCCTACAAAAATATCGGTTAATGTGTGAGATATATAATATATTTGAAATGCAGAGATAATCCTTTCCTGATAGTAGTATGTCTGTGTTACAAACAGGTAATGTCGGGTCAATACTTCCCTTAGTCCCCATATACCTAATACAAAGATTTATAAACTGCCGATTGAGAGAACGTGTTTCTCTTATAACGGTGAAAACTCGCCCTAGACACCATACTAACAAACCATATGTAGCTGAAGATACTTCCCTCGCTTTCATCCTTGCAAGTCCCAAGAGTATAAAATGTTCATTTATGCCCAAACTTAGGTCTTCTTTACTTGCGATGAAATAAAAATGTTTGTGAAATGTTTTGATAACTGAAAAATATAACTTAATCTGTTAAGCAACAAACTATGTTTTTATTGATAACATAAAATTATAATAAAAAAGTCCAGTTTTAAAAAAGTACATTTCACAAATTCTGAAATATTAGTGTTAAATTTAAATATGCATGTATCATCTTTATGTTTTTACAATTTGGGAAGTTTCTTTAAGCAAATTTTTTAAAACATTTTTTATTAGTGATTTCTACGTACCGCGATCCCGTCTGCGGATGGATAGACAACTTTTATGGACCAACAGGAGCTATTGCTGGAGCTGGGACAGGTGTCATACGAACACTACGTTGTGACCCACGTGCTGTCGCTAATATGGTTCCAGTTGATTTATGTGTGAATAGCATAATCGCAGCGGCATGGGACATATCACAAAAACACAAGTAAGATCGATATGTGTTAGTTTATGAATTAAATTTACTAATACATAAGGAGATCTTCTAAATTTTTACGCTCATTTACTAAATCTACAGTATCATAACACTTGAAAAAGATATACCAGTTTATAATTTCTGCACATCAAAATTCAATCAGCTGACTTGGGGCGATTTTACTACCAAAACAACGAAATACGGCCTAATGTACCCAACAATCAAAGCCCTTTGGTATTTGTGTTACGCCAATACTCCGAACAAGTTTCTGCACTTATTGTCAATTTTTTTTTTACACTATGTTCCCGCTACTATTTTTGATGTATTTTGCATGTGCATGGGAAAAAAACCTCGGTGAGACAAAAACGCTATTTTAAGGTGTTTACTAATTTACTTCTTCTTTTTATTTTTTCTCTTAAGGTTGCTAAATACTTACAAAAAAATTCATAGATTTATGCGTGTGATTGAATACTTCTCAATGCGACAGTGGGATTTCAAAATTGATAATGTGATCAATCTGTGGAATCGCCTATCCGATAAAGATAAGGATACATTTTTCTTCGATATGACACAATTAGATTGGGATTTATTTTTACAGCAATACTTCCGAGGTATACGACAATATTTGTTACATGACCCACTTGATACAATACCACAAGCCCTTGTAAGATGGAATAGGTAGGCTTCACTTCTTCAGTAATGCTATAGTGAATAATGTAATCTTTGCTTTTTTAGGCTGTATTGGCTGCATCAGTGTATAAAGTTACTTGTATTATTGTTATCAGCTCATATTATTTGGTTGTTTTTTTCAAAACTCTGCTAAGATAAAAATAATAATTTCGTATATTGTGACATTCGAGTAAATAAATTTTGTATTTTATATATACTGATTACACAATTTCATTTAAAAACAACATTATGGAAATATGTCTCGAGGTTGATCGGTTTCCGAGTAGACTTATATAACGCATATACTATACAACCCGAAAAACGTGTATTCATATCACCATTCATAATAAAAGAACACTTCTATACATCTTATATTATATTTAAAAATTAAGCGCTATTTCGTTAAGTGTCCGCATTACGTCCGAACCACTGAAAAAGGTCCTAACGAAGGCCTTTTTTGCAAAGTCACCGTCGATTTCGAAATATGTACATACATTTGGTTGAAAATTGATGAGGGTGTAGTTGGAACCTCGGACGGGCTCAGAACTTCAAACTTCAAACCATAAGTATGTGTTCAATATTCATGTAATAATTTCAATTTTTTTACTTAAAATATAATAAAATCACACAGCTACCGTTGTTTTTATTATTGTAGCGGCAGAATCACACAGCTACTGGCAGGACACAAGTAATTCTTGTTTACACATGCACATATGTATAGGAATTACACTTATAGTTAAAGTTGAATCATCATTTGAGATTAGTGCATGATAGCTCGCAAATATTCCTGAAGCATTTCACAGAACAATGTAATATTTAAACGGCTTGGTGTTTTCTTTTGTGTACATTACACCGCTTACGCGATTTTAGCCGAGTTAACAACAGCGCACCAATCGTTTTCTTTTCGCTACGTGGCGTCAATTGAATATTCCAAGCGAAGCCATGTCCTTCTCCACTTGGTCCTTCCAACGGAGTGGGGGTCTTCCTCTGCTTCCCCCGGCGGTTACTGCGTCGAATACTTTCAGAGCATTTATTTTCGTCCATTCGGACAACATGACCTAGCCAGCGTAGCCGCTGTCTTTTAATTCGCTGAACTATGTCAGTGTCGTCGTATATCTCATACAGCTCATGGTTCCATCAAATGCGATATTCGCCGTGGTCAATGCGCAAAGAACCACAAATTTTTCGCAGAACTTTTCTCACGAAAACTCGTAACGTCGACTTATCAAACGTCATCGTCCATGCTTCCGCACCATAAAGCAGGACGTTAATAAAGAGTGACTTATAGAGTTTGGCTTTTGTTCGTCGAGATAGGAATTTACTTCTAAAATCAGTCCGAAGTAGCACCTGTTGGCAAGAGTTATCCTGCGTTGGATTTCCAGGCTGATAAAATTGGTGGTGTTTACGCTGGTTCCAAGTTAGACGAAAGAGCGGAGGACGGGACCTCTTCTACTCTACTCCTGCATTGTTATACACTATTACAAGAAGCATACTATATGTGTAACGATATACGATGCAGTATTATTCGGAACTGTGACATATTTTCCGTATTATTTATTTTAAATGATAAGATATTTGTGAAAATGATGTTACGTCATACCTATTTCTATGTTTCCTTAGTGATCTACAAAGTCAATAAAATATGAAGATAACCAATTTAACAATTCCATTATATATCATGAGCAATGATTGACACCAAGAATAGAGTGGGACCGCGAGTTTGGCTAGTATGTAAATAAAAAAATATAAAAGAAAATAAACAATACCATACTAATAATGATTAAATATCACTTTTTGATTAACGTTTTGCAAATATTTCGAATTTATAACAATGAATACCAGAAAGATTGTTGCTAAATTATTTCTGTCGTTCCTTGAAATTACGTTTTGCACTGATTTTAGCAGGTTTGTTTTTGGCATCCCACTTTGTTTTTATATCAACTGTTGAGAATTCCCTAATCTTCACAATCAGGGTAAAAATGACAGAAAAATTAGTATCGTATCTTGGCATCCTTGGTAAAAGCAAAAAGAAAAAAAAAAAAAAAAAAAAAAAAAAAAAAAAAAAAAAAAAAAAAAAAAAAAAAAAAAAAAAAAAAAAAAAAAACAAAAAAACAAAACAAAAAAAGTGAATATCTTTTACATATTTTTGGTTTATGATGAAAGTACTTAGATATCTGTGGGTCCCAAGTTTAAAAAGGGATGTTGACAACAGCTAACCATTATATGGGCTTATGTTACATCAATTTTAAATCGCCGTTCGAGTGAATGGAAACTGGCTACAACACCTTTATAAAATGTCAAAATGTAATCAATCAATAAAACATTGGATTTTCAATTCGGGATTCTCCAGTCGTTAGAAATGGGAGAGCAACTCACCTACCCGATTTTGACAGTTACCTGCTTTTAACGTTGCACTATTGGAACGACGGGAATGACCAGGCTTAAATTTGATGTCGCCGTTCAAAATAATAAAAAATGTAAAACAATGAAGATGAAACAAAATGCGAAATTTAAATATATATGATGACTTCTTTTGTAATGTTAGTAATTTTAATTTTCAATTAAAAATATTTTTTAAATTTATTAATTGAAAGCTAACAGGCTTAATTCACTTAATTAACTACTGAAGTTCAAAAGTCAGTTGTTTTAATATACCAATAAATCATAAAAAAAAAGTATTTTAATAGTTTTTCCAGGTGTTAAATATCCTTCGTTTAATAACTTTTAATCGTTATAAATATTGGGTGTTTTAATTTAAATACCCAAAAACTAATATTTTTTCTGACCTGGCTACAATGCAAAATGTTGTACAAAAGACTAATTTTGAGGAGCAGTCACACTGGAATAGTGTATAGATTAGAATTGAGCATTTGAAATAAAGCTGCCGATTTATTTAGGGATGCCGCTTCGGCGTTAACTATAAGCGCTGAAAGCGCGATGCATAGTGCTTTTACTTCGGTATCTGGTAGAATACAAGATTATATTAACCGCCATGTTATGACAAATTTTTTTTTGGTAAATCCTCTAACTTGTCCAATAGGTATCATGTTAATGGATCAGAAGATGCGGATGCGGCATAGTTATTAGCGCTATTTCACCGCCGGTGATTTTTTCACTGTGATTTGAAAAATCGCAGCTGCGATCACTTTTTGTAAATAGCAGTTCACTCTATGAATTCCGATAGCAGTTTGATTCTGTGAATCGCGATGTTAATAACAGTTCACAAAAAAGACTTGCGAAATGCAATTTTTAACAGTACAGTTTAATAGGATTGTGACCACAATAGCAGAATAATAGAAACGTATCAGGTATGGTAAATACGAATATGTTATTTTTTGCCATAGTAGTTTAAACTTTTAAGGGTAGCGTTGTTATGATTTTTAATAATGGTAGAAAATGTATTAAGGAAAATAAGTTAAGTATGGCAGATGTTTGAATTGGCATAAGAAATATGTTCCAAATGCAATATTAATAAAAAAAAGGAGTCATAAAAGTTTTCTACGAAATTTCCAGATTTTTTCTGAGAAAACTTTTAAATATATTGTCCCAAAAATTTGTAAAGATATTAGGGTATCTTTTAACTGTATTTTAAAATTTATTATTTGTAAAAATATTTATTTGGAAAGGAACTATAGCTGATCTCCGAGAGCTTTTTTCAATAAAGACATTTTGCGGAGATCACTATATCACTCAACTGGATCCTCAGAAATTAAAAAACTAAACGAATTATGTTAAAGTTATGTTAAATCTAGTTGTCAATTGAAGGAATAAAAATACATTTTTAACAAAATGGCGGGGTCTAAGGAAAAAAATTATTTTTCACCAAAATTTTGGGTTTAAATTGTTTATATAAAAGAAAATATTTATCCGTGAGAAAAAATCTTCGATTAGTTTCCAAAAAATCATATTTAATAAGCTAAGGTTAAAATTTGAGACTAGCCGTTTTCGAGTAGTGTTGGTCACCGACTTTGAAAACATCATTTTGAGAAACCCCGTTTAAAGTTTGGAATGCACTTTACATACACTCTTAACCGCCTCTTCAAATTTGCGATTTGCGTGTAGCTTTGAAAATATTTCCTGTGTATATTCTTAATTATATGTATTATAAGTACTTTGTAACCCCTCAAAAAAAAAATAAATATAGCGTTCAATTGTTTTCTTATTTAAGTTGATTTAGTTGCGATCGCGATATTAGATCACAGTAATTCAAAAATAGCAATCACTGAAATCACAAATATTGAAAAATCGATATCATCACTAATGTGGTATATCTTACCTAAAAGCGCAAACAGCCAAAACGTAGACCCGTGGCCCGTGTCAACTGATACGACCTATCTTCTGGGCACACAATGTAAGTGAACAACGAAAAACGCTACTCCCTTCTCTCTTTGCCGTAGGATTTCCACGGCATTGAGATTTTTGCCGTAGAAACGTGTCAGCTGATTACTGTCCCACAACGCAGGGTTGCCAATCTCGATATACTGTAGTAATTATAAAATTTGTCTTCAATATGTTTGTAACTCAAACTCAGAGTCGAATGCTATTATTTATAAGTATATAAACTATTTACAATAGTTTGTTTGCAGTTTTGATATTTTATATTATGAAAAATTGTAATTTTGTGTAGAAAACTATATATGCGTATTGAGCAATGGCAACATTGTTCAAATGAAACCAAACAATGGGGCTGATTTCTGCGTTTTTAGCACGGGCTCAACGGGACACATTTTGCTCGCTAAGGAAGGCAAAGGAAGTAGCGTTTTTGGCTGTTTCTGCTATGAGGCCATCCGAACATTACATCGATAATTTAATGAACAACTAAATGAAACCGCGCTTAAATTTCAACAAACCCATTCGAAAAGTTTAGTATTTTTTATTTTAAATAATATTTTCAGCTCAGTTCAAATCAACATATTACAGCACAAAAAAACTGCTTATTTGCTTAAATCGAAATATATTCCTAATAAATTATGTACTAAATAACATAATTATTGCAGATTATTAATTCGAAACTTACAAAACTAGAATTGATAACTTATATATTGCTAAAAGATTTATTAGGTATAGTTAAACTAAACATTTTCTGGCAACAAAGTTTAGGTTCAATTCCATATATAAATTTTACTCCCTTTCATATAAATATGTTCAAATTTACTTGAGTGCTTAAACATTTGATTCCATACATCTCCGATCATATATGGGTTAGTTGTAAAAAGATATTTTTAGAGCTTTTAGTACAGAAAATTTTATTTCCCACTAAATAAATATAACGGACATCGCTAAGTTTATTTAACATTTCGTTAAAAAATTAAAATCGAAATTTGTTACATATTTATAGAAAAATATATCATAAGCTATGTTATAAGGCGTTTATAAAATATAATAGTTCAATAATTTCATTTAATTCCCCTGGATTTTCTTCTTTCTTTTTCTGTTATTTCCTAAGTAGTTTAATTAAAGGAAAACGATTCGACTTGAAATGTTTATTACTAAAAATTTTTCTTCAGTTTGAGTTCGGTTTCTACTGGACATTCACATGTTTTATTTTCACGTCAGTGGTATTGGAATCGGAACAGATAGTAACATCACAGCACTCTTTGTTATTAAAGACAAGTATGTCTGTTGGATGT